TCCCACCCCCACCCCACCCCATCCCCACCAAGGGAGTCTCTCTGTCACCCCAGGCTGGAGTTCAGTGGCGTGATCTTGGCTCACTGCAACCTCTGCCTCCTAGGATCAAGCAATTCTCCTGCCTCAGTCTCCTGAATAGCTGGTGCATGCCACCACACCTGGCTAATTTTTTAATTTTTAGTAGAGATGGGGTTTTACCATGCTGACCAGGCTGGTCTCAAATTCTTGACCTCAAGTGATCTGCCTGCCTTGGCCTCCCAAAGTGCTGGGATTACAGGCATGAGCCACTGCATCCAGTCTATTCTGTGTCTTTTAATTGGGGCATTTAGCCCATTTACATTTAAGATTAGTATTGTTATGTGTAAACTTGATCCTGTCATCATGATGCTAGCTGGTTATTTTTCAGACTTGTTTATGTGGTTGCTTCATAGTCACTGGTTTGCGTACTCCAGTACATTTTTGTAGCGGCTGGTAACGGTTTTCCCTTTCCATATTTAATGCTTCCTTCAGGAGCTCTTGAAAGGCAGGTCTGGTGGTAATGAATTCCCTCAGCATTTGCTTGTCTGAAAAGGATCTTAATTTTCCTTCACTTATGAAGCTCAGTTTGGCCAGATATGAAATTATTCTGGGTTGGAAATCCTTTCCTTTAAGAATGTTGAATATTGGCCCCCAGTCTCTTCTGGCTTGTAGGGTTTCCAATGAGAAGTCCACTATCAGTCTGATGGACTTCCCTTTGTAGGTGACCTGGCCTTTCTCTATGGCTCCACTTAACATTTTTTCTTACATTTTGACCTTGGTGAATCTGATGATTATATGTCTTGGGGTTGATCTTCTCATGGAGTATTTTACTGGGGCTCTCTGGATTTTCTGAATTTGAATTTGGCCTGTCCTGCTAGGTTGGGCGAGTTCTCCTGGATGACGTCCTGAACTATGTTTTCCAACTTAGTTCCATTCTCCCCATCTCTTTCAGGTATCCCAATCAGTCATCGGTTCAGTCTCTTTACATCCCATATTTCTCAGAGGTTTTGTTCATTTTCACTTTTTCTCTATTTTTGTCTGCCTTATTTCAGAAACAGTTTTCAAGCTCTGAGGTTCTTTCTTATGCTTAGTCTATTTGGCTATTGATACTTCTGATTGCATTGTGGAGTTCTCATGTTGTGTTTTTCAGCTCCACCAGGTTGGTTATGTTCCTCTCTAAACTGGCTATTCTAATTATCAGCTTCTACATTGTTTAGATTCTTAGCTTCTTTGCATTGAATTACAACATGCTCCTTTAGTTCAATGAAGTTCAATATTACCCACCTTCTGAAGCCTACTTCTGTCAATTCAGCCATCTCAGTCTCAGCCCAGTTCTGTGCCCTTGCTGCAGAGGTGTTGCAGTCATTTGGAGGAAATGAGGCACTCTGGCTTTTTGAGTTTTCAGTGTTTTTGCATTGATTCTTTCCCATCTTTGTGGCTTTTTCTACCTCTGATCTTTGAGGTTGCTGACCTTTGAATGGGGTTTTTATGGGGTATTTTTTGTTGATGCTATTTTCTAGTCAGGAGATTCTTCCATAGGGTTTCTGTGGTTTGCTGGGGGTCCACTCCAGACCCTTAGGTGCCTCAGTTTTTCCCATACCTGGAGGTATCACCAGTGAAGACTGCAAAACAACAAAGATGGCAGCCTGCTCCTTCCTATAGAAGTTCCATCTCAGGGGGGTACTGATCTGTTGCCAGCCCAAATATGCCCGTAGAAGGTGGCTGGAAACCCCTATTGGGGGGCCTTATTACCCACTCAAGAGAAATGGGATCAGGGACCCACTTATAGAAGCACTCTGGCTGCTTTTTGGTAGAGCAGGTGTGCTTCACTGGGGGGAACTCTTCCTTGTCTGGACCGTTTGTATTGTACAAAGCTGACAGGCTGGAACAGCTGAGTCTGCCCAACCAGAGAGGGCAGCTACTGCTCCCCTTGGGAACTCAGTCCCATCTCTGGCAGACTGTTGCCATTGGCTGGATGTAATTCCAAGCCAGCGTATCTTAACTTGTGAGGTGCCATGGATGTGGGGCCCACAGAACAATGCTGCTTGGCTCCCTGGATTCAGTCCCTTCCTAGGATTATTTACAGACGGATATCCTGCCTTGCCAGGGATCCCAGGGTCAGAGTATGTAAAACTCCTGGGTCTGTGTGAGAAGCTGCTTTGCCAAGACTCCGCATAGCTTTGTGTATTGGATTCAAGGCCCTGGTTGCATGGGCTCATAAAAGGATCTCCTGATCTGCAGGTTGCAAAGATCCATGGGGAAATTGTGGTTTCCTGAGTGGGACTGCACACTCACTCACCACTTACTTTGGCTAGGGGCAGGGGTTCCTTTGGCTCCATGCTGTTCCCAGTTGGGCCATCACCCCACCCTTCTTTTCTTTGTTCTCCGTGGGTCAAGTTGTTTGCCTAGTCAGCCCCAATGCAATAAGCTGGATATTTCAGTTTAAGGTGCTAAATTCACTCCCTATTTTCATTCCGCTCCATGAGTACTGCAGCTGCTTCTAATCAGCTATCTTGACCTCTCTGCCTTTGGAGTGACTTTATAAAGGCAAAACTGACTACAACCATCCCATCCTTAAAATTGTTTCATTGCCTCCTAATACAATTTTAATAAAATCCGAATTATTTACAGTGACCTAAAATCCCTGCCTAAAATTACTTACGACTACCACACTAGCCATATATTTGTAACAGGGGACAATATCAACCTCCAAGGAGGTGAATATTGGTTCTGGAGGGGAAGAGAGGGGATAAAGTAAATCTTTCTCTTTCCGGTGTATAAAGAACAGGTATAGATACAGCATATATAATATCTATGGAATTAAAATCTTATGGAGGGGGAGCAATTAGAAAAAGAGTTTAAAGAAAAATTGAGAAATCCACCTAACCTAATCTCAGGTTCCTCTTCCCCTTACCTGTAAGACCAGCGCTACACAATATGGCAGCCCCTAGTGACATGTGGCTACTGAATACTTGGAACATACCTAGTGCAAAAGGAAAAGCAAAGTTTTAATTTTGCTTAAATAAAATTTCAATAGCCATATGTGGCTAGTGGCTACCATATCAGACCACACAACTCTAGACACTCAGACCTCGTTTTGGTTCAAGGATATCAAGCCCTTTGCACATGCTATCTGTATCTATCCATGCTAGGTCAGGATACTTTTGCTACAAATAACAAAAATTCAGAGTGGATTAAACATAAATCTAGATAAGAGAGAATCCAGGGTTGGCTAATTCAACAGCTTCAATGCCATTATCATGGATCCAGGTTCCTTCCATCTTCCTTCATGGCCATCCCTGGTGCATGAGCACTTCCCTAAGATTGTTCCCCTAATAGTCATAATATGTCTGCCAAAGCACCAGGCATCACATCTAAACCTAATGCTCAGTACGAGACTGTAGCTGTCTCTTTTTTGTTCCCTTTAAAAATGAGATAAAACATCACCTCACATGTCGTTAGCCAGAATTTTATCATATGTCTCTATCAATCACTGGCAAGAGGAATGCGATCACTACATATGGCTCAGATGCTACAAGAGCCATTCCCTGGAGCTGAATATAGTGCTGGTCCCCAAAACATATGGCTAGAGGAGGATGGTGGATACTTGATCAAGCCAGGGCCCTGTAGGAAAGTAGGGACTTGCACACCTTGTATTAAGGAGGGGAGTGTGAAAGTAGAACTTCACCCTCTGTTCTAGGTAGAACTAAGCTGAACTAGTGGAGAATATGCCTGTGCCAGTGGTTTTCAGAGTGTTGTTATCCAGAAACTTTTTAGAGAACTGGAAATTGTCAGGTCCCACCCCAAACCTATTGAATCAAACTCAGGATGGTGCCCAAGAATCTGTGTTTCAGCAACTCTTCTAGGAGGTTCTGATACATCCTAGAGTTTGAAAACATTGCCCTATTCCAGTGGTTTTCAACTGGGTGGTGGTGGTTGGGATTTTGCCCCCAGGGGACATTTGACAATGTCTAGAGACATTTTGTTGTCACAACTGCAGTGCAGGGTGCTACTGGCATCTAGTAGTAGAGGTCAGGACAACGTGTAAGACAGTCTCCCACAGCAAAGAAGTGTCCAGCCCCAAATGGCAATAGTGCCAAGGCTGAGAAACCATGGGGCAGAGGAAGCTCCTTTACAGTGGCTACAGCCCTCCTTGCTCTCCATGTAGGATTCAGGTCTTTGAACCTGGTTAGCACAAGGATTAGCATCTGTCAAGCACCTTCAGAGCAGAAGAGATGTCAGATTGCCTTTGCCCACAGTCTAATCGACTTGCTTCTAAGCAATCAGTCTTCTAGCAGTCAACTCAGTCAGATCAGTCCCAGGGGTCACTAAAGTATCCATCCATAGCAAAACAATAAAACAGGACACAATGATCATCTTCAGGACAAAAAAAAAAGACATTTTATAAGGAGCACAGTCAATATACACATTGGCTGGCTTTCATGAGGGCCTAATTCCTCTGTCTTAGAAAGTTGACAGGCTGTTTGGATCAAGCAAATTTTTTTCCATGCTTAGGAATCTTTCTGTTCAATTGAGTCTCTACTACCACATCTCTCTCTCTCATGGGGCCAGGAAACGGAGATCAAACATCCAGTTCTAACTAACATTTTCTAGACAAGACACAAGCAAGAAACCATGCATTGTCTTTGGATACAATTTCTCTCCATGAGAGTTTGAAGTTAGCGAAAGCAGCAAATCATATCAGAGTAGCCAATGCCACCATCAGTTCAGCTCAATCCCACCTCATATTAAACCTGTTTCCAAGGGTTTTACGGCACAGCTTGCTCTACCATGATCACCACGTGAGCTCTTCCGGCACTTACTTAATATAACACTTCCAGGAACAGATGTGCTGGTCAAGTTTATTTACATTAATGTTCTCTCATGTCAATCACACATAAGCCCTGGAAGTTGGTTTTTATATACAGAATCCAGTGCCTTCCTGGGAGAACTACTTTTTTCCAAAACAAAAGAAGACAAAATTAGTATGATAATTGCAGAGTTTAATGAACACCTCACTTCACTTTGGGGTCTCATCCGGAATTTCGGAGTGAACTGTGTCCAGAGGCTGCCAGTGGCAATTCATGAGGGAGTCGTAGAGTTCTTCACTTTTCACCATAAACTCTTGGTTTGATTCCTCAATATTCAAATGAAGATGTGGATCTGCAGAAGCCAATCATGGATATGAAAAAGATAGAGTTTTACAGGACACATACTAGAAATAGTTTAAAATTAGAAAGCTTTTAGAAAGCATTTGCAGGAAGTATTGCAGATAGTAAAGGTTAAAATTCCTAAATTCCCTTTGGGAGACCGAGATGGGTGGATCACGAGGTCAGGAGATCGAGACCATCCTGGCTAACATGGTGAAACCCCATCTCTACTTAAAAATACAAAAACTAGCCGGGCGAGGTGGCGGGCGCCTGTAGTCCCAGCTACTCGGGAGGCTGAGGCAG